AAAAAAAAAAAAAAAAAAAAAATGGCGGCAAACCGAGAATACGCAGAGTTGACGGCCATGAAAAGGGGAATCATTATTCACGATTCGATATTTTCACGGCGTACAATGGACCACTCTGAATGCTCGAAAATTGGTAATATTATATTTTCGGACGGCGCGTCATGAAAGCGTGTAAAAAGTCCGCGAGGCGAGGATTGTCCACATTAATCAGAAAGAATATGTCCTGAAAATGTCACAAGTAATAATCCAGGCTCAACCTCGAATTATGAGAATAATTTCGTATTGGTTGTTGCGTTTCATTTATTGCGACGCGATTATCCGTATATTTATTGTAGAAAATTGTGCAGATTGTTCGCAGATTTTTTCGGGAAGAGGAAGAGAAGAAGAAAGAACTCGAGCATTATCCAAATGGCAATTTTCTCTTTCGATTTTTCTTTCCTTTTCTCGTTGCAAAAATTCGTACAGCTAAATTACTAACTCGCGAAAACTAAATCGATCTTCTTAATGCTCTTCGTTTTTTCTTTTTTCTTTTTTATTTAAACGAGAAGAATAAATCCATTCATAATACATTGTCGCCATTCGTTGTGCAAAAATGCAAACGTACAAAAAAAAATAGAAACTGTATCCGAGAGCTGTAAAATAGCTTGTCGTGAAAGCTTTCATTAGCCTCGATGTTTTTAAAAACTGGTTTTCCTTTTCAAATATCGTTTCAATATATATATATATTTTTTTCTTTTTTTTATCCATAACAATAACCTCACTCAAGAACAACGACAACCGCCTATTATTTCTATCTCCTCGTATACGAGGACTCGCTAAAAATATTTTCGAAACGAATGGGACAATTATTCCCCTCCACCTTCCTCTCATCGAACTTTTCGAAGATTCAACGATTCGTTACGAGTCGCGAGGCGAACAAAAATCGAGGCTACCGCAGAGAGATAAATCGAACTTTTCCGACGAAGTCAGGATAATTCCTCGCGCGAGCTCGTATATATACTGGCGAAGATTAAATCGCGAATACATAGTTTTCCACGAATTTTTCCACAGGTTTTTGAAAGGACGATTCCATAACCGTCATCCCCTCCTCCCCCAACGTGTTTCCACGTTGAAATATCGTCGTTATAAATCACCCACCGTCCGACCGTGTCGCGATTGCATTATAAAATGCAGGTAAATTAATTTCGATGGGGGAAAAGGGAGGGGAAGAGATGGAATCGTGGAACGAAGTCGAGGGACGAAGCGACGATTGATCCATGCGCGCGTGGATGGTATACCGCACAACCTCGTTGTGCTGGGCGGCCATTGAAATAAAAATTTATGGGTTAACGTGGATGAGAGCGGAAACGAGGAACACCTAGCCGCTCGTTTCATGGACGTTTCGAACGATTTCATGGGTTTTCGTTGCGACCGCGAGCCCGCCCCTCTTTTCATTAAATTTCGTTCGCGCCTTTGAAAGAAACTTTGAAGAAGACTCCAATTTGTCGTTGGATTATTACTTTTTCTCGATAGAGAAAAGTTTTTTTTTTAACCGTGATCGTTCGTTGGAGGAACATTTTTATCGATTTTTAGGAAAGTTTGATTATAGGAGGATAAATATATATTTCTATTATAATTGTTTGGCGAATTTTTGGACTGATTGGAGGAGGGACAGAAATTTGCACAAGTCGACAATAAATCGCTTGTTTTTTGGATTTGCATTAAATTTTCGTCAAACGTTGCGGGATATATTTTTACACGTGATAATACGAAAAAGAATACTACTGTTACGTTCAGTAACATTGTTTTCAATTGGATAATAACTGCAATTTGCAATTTACGAATATATACTTTAGTTAATACTGATATTCTAACTCAATGAAACATTCGTAACGAGAAATTACAGTTCATTCCACTCGTTACACAAGCCATTATCGATAAAACTACATAAACCGAAACTTCAGAACAATATACTCCAAATGGGAGCAATTCAGATCCAAAGCTTCAATTACTCCAACTTCAACGATCTGGACGATTCGTCGCAAATAATTAATTGATCTAACAATTTCCTAAAAACTACGACTTCGAAGATCATTCATCTTTCGATTGATCAGATAAATAAAATTTCTCGATCGAAGCGCAAAATAAATTATTTCATTAATCACAAACTACGAGGAAAAATAAAAAAATCAACGATTCTGAACCGAGTCTAACCAATTACTACACGCTTCCATTGATCGAAATTTAAGACAGAAAAAGAAATTGAAAACAGAAAATCGTTCACAACAAAATCCTCCTATTTCTCCGTAACACGGCCGTGAAAACAATAGAATAGAAAAATATCCATCGTCCATTTGAGAAATCCCATCCATCCATTTCGAAACGTCTTCACCCACATTTATCCTCCCCCGATGGACGTATCGATGTAAAGGAAGGATTCGCCCATAAATTAATCATCGGTTCGCGCATGCACCAGCTTCCCCGCGTATTAAAGGAGCGCATTAAAGGATGATATCCCGTGTAACCCGTGTTGTCCGCCGCGGCATAATCCCGAAATTACGCGCGCCTCGGCCGGGCAAAGATTATGGGGGAGCTCCGCGAGCGGGTTTCCGCGCGAGCCAATTAGAATCTCGTAATTCCTGCGAGCAGGGTGTAACAACGTTAATTCTAGCCCGATGCCCGACCGCCGCGTATGGATAAATCGTGAATCAGAAAGATCTTCCGCGAACCAGTGGAAGGGAAAGAGAGGAGAAGAGAAAGGAAAAAGGAAAAAGAAAAAAATCGATCCTCTTCTCCTCGCGGAAATCACGGCGATTATTGCGCGAGTACGGTGTTTCCTCGTAGCGGAGGAACACCACTTAAATCACGAGTGGTTCATTAACTTTACGCCCGGTTCACAGAGATCCGGTGGCCCTCGAGCAACCAGACCAGAAGAGCCCAATTAAAATTCAGTAATTTCAATAAAGTATCACCGGCGAGAATTCATCGCGGAACCCGGATCGTGATT